AAAAGTAGGTCGATCCAGAGCGGATCGCAGGCAGAATTGGGAAAGGGGACCAATAAACTTCTACGCAGATAGGCGGAAGCTTGCCGGAAGGGTTGATAGAGAGGTCTCGTGCAGGGAGCTCTCTATTAACCCCGAAATCAGTCCTCTACATAGATCACTATAATATTTTTCAGGCAGAAGTCATTAAGGAACCAGTATATTGGCTAATAAGAATCAGTTGTTCGTTATCAGCAAGGGAGGTAAATATCCACTCTGATAGCCAAGCAGAAATTTGAACTTTTGGACTCGCTCACAGTGCTGCCAAAACTATTTAGTACATAATATCTTACATCTCTTACAGTTTGTTTGGCGCTCACCAAGAAAAGTTGACTAACTACATACGGACAGATGAGCCTCGTATGAGCTTAGCGAACTCTATGCGAAAACCAGTACTAAAATCAGACTGGAGGCGTTCAAGGGATCTCCTTGAGCTTACAAAATCGCATTGAGCTTTGGTACTCGCCTTCCTAAAGTAAAATGTATATTAATAATACTTAATCGCCGTTTACTTAGGTATCTGTTGCACAAAAAGACAAAAAACTAAACATGTTTAGTTAACCTTGTGTAAAGAAAATAATTGGTTGCGCAAAACCCTAAAAAACAACAAAAAATGTAAAAAAAATTTGCATTTTCATAAAAAAATGGATGTATTACGCCTATATAAACCCTGCAGGAAAATTGTCTATAACCGTGTGAAAGCGTTAACATTATTCTATCGCTGACTGAGCTTGCCATTTTGTTGCAACTAAAACAAATTGAAATTTTAACCGAGGCCAAATTGGGTGCCCAAATAATTCAAGGAAGGCTTTTAAATAAATATTTACATAAGGATACTAGCAATTTACGGTTCTTACATGGGTATTTTTGGTAAGAAAAAAGTTTAGCTTTACCTGTTTAGGTTCGATACCAATACACTGCCAATTCATATATCTACATTAGGGTGCATCACTCTCCATACATAAAAAAAAAAATCGTACAATTTTTCCATCGGAAATACAAAATGTAATATATTTTAAGACTTCCGCCAAAATATTTGAAAATATATTAGGATTTACGTGAGCTGGACCTATTCGAAAACACCAAGTCAAGTATTTTATAAATAAAATAAGTTATTTTACGTTTTTTTTGTTGTTGTAAAAAATCACTTCAGATGATACAAGATTTTAAGCTTAAAAGGTCTGCATAAAAATGTTAAACAATTTTATCAACGGAATCAAACTAGTAAGATTTTTGGATGTATTTTCAAATCGGTTTAGCTCACTTAAATATTAATATTTTACCGAAATATTTTGGCGGAAGTTTTAAGATATAATAAGTTTTATAATATTCCGGTGGGAAAACCGCATTTTTTTGGTGATGTACCCTAATATACATACATATTTACAAATGGATAACCACTCGTGCATACAAGTGTCAATGCAAACACATTCCAACAACGATTACAAAATGCTATACAAACACGAATTGGATAAACCGGACGCATAACCGGTGGCATCAATAAAACTGAATGTGAGTAATAAAATCACAAGCCGCGTTTTTTCATTATTTTTTAATTTGATCGAATAAACACTTTGTTCTTTAATAAACCGTCATGCGTGAAATTATGATTTAAATCAAAATAATTGTTATTGCTTGAAACAATAACAAAAGTGAGTGATACCACTCGTAAAACTAGGCTGGATTCGGTAGCAAATTTAGAAGTGGCGCTAAACATACATAGTATCGCTACTAGGGATGTTGATTTTTTAGCTTTTTTCGATCCCGGGATCACACGGTATGTCATTATCACAATCCCGGGATCCCGGCATTAGTCCCGGGATTTAGATATTCATTACTTTTCAACAACTTAAATCAAAAAATTTGTTTTTATATTGTTTGAGAAGCTCTCCTACCATAAAATAAATAATAAATAAATGGGTTTGAAAAAAAAAAAATAAAATTTTTTGGATTCACAAGGACGAATTATTTTAATTTTAATTTTTTAAGCTGATAACGTTAGAAGGACGAAATTCGAGTATGTTATCGAGTTTATATAACATATAATTTTTTCAAAAACGAATATTACGAAATTTCAAGGATCAAAATTTAAAAGGCCATTTTCAATACTTACCAGTCCTTCTGCACCAAAACCTGGAATCTGTTTAAATTCTAAAGGATTTCGTCTTTCATTTTATACCCATACTTCTTCTCTAAGCAGATTTCTCTAAATTTTTAAAATCATTTTTAAATTACTGACGTCAGAGTGAAAAACTAAAAACGCAATTTTACTATATTTGGCCCATGTTTTCGCGAATATATTGATATTTGTGTTTAAAACTTACTTTTGCGCGGTGTTATATGTATAGTGAGCTAGACATTTATAAAAAAATATTAATTATTATTAAATAAAAAAAGAAATGTAGCCAATACTGGTCAAGAAAAGGAGTTTCTATTATTGCCATCAGTGTAAATTACAAATCCCGAAAATCCCGGTATTAACATTCCAAATCGCTACAAATGTAGCCTAATGTCGAGTTTCCACGTGCTATTAAATTGTAAAAATTTTAATGACAGGCACTAATAAATGATCGTGCTGTTGCTTTAATAAAAAACTCAGTGGGCATAAGTTACAATCGGACAGACAATCACACGGCACAGTCTTTTTATTAATTTAGAGGAAGTAGAGTCATGTCCGACCATAAAGTCTTTTACGAGCGTTTTTAGACGCAACTTTTACAGGGACATTCTGGTTAAGATGGTAAAAAGTCTTTCGTAAGAAAAATGAAAAAGAGATGGCAAGTTAGTCCGAAAGGCTTTTGTTATTCTAGCACAAAGGTCTTAGAAAAAAAGCTTATGACCACATATGTGTATCTCGGTAACCGTTCCATTAATTTGTACCAAACTCGCTACAATTATTGCACTTGCTACATAAAAGCAAGACGTTGAACTAAAATTACGCCCACTTAACTTATAACGGTAAATTTAAGAAAAGCTGAAACTTCGATATTTCGAAATTTAAGGACACCAATTTAATCAACATCGATACTCACAACAATCCCCTGAACATAAGTAACATTACTATGGAATTTCGGAAATTGGATGTGGTACCGCCAACTTATAGCCACATAACTTTATCTCGTTAAGGGTCGTTTTCTCAAGTAACCGGTAACTTTAAAACTCACTTTATATTTAAAGGTGGCAAAAAAATTTCAGAAAACGGCCTTAAGTCTGTCTAACTGAACATACTATCGAAGATGTTTGAAATAGGGGTAAAATCACCCCTGCTTTGGATAGGTGAAAAAACTATATTTCATTTGTACGCCGGATATTTAAATGTTCTGATTCACCCAAACATACGAGTTTTTACTTGTCTTAATTTAGTTTTCTTTTAATTATTGCATTTTTTGTCATAAAAAGAAAAAAAAATATATTCTTTAATTTCATTTGATCTTTAGAAACAAATTTGTTTTTTATTCATGAGTGAATATTTTATTGTTTTAAACCGAAAAAATATATATATTTTTTGTTATATTTTCTTTTCCCAATGTAATTTACTTGTAATTATTAGATGTGTTTATTCAATTGTAAAAACTTATTTTATTTTATTTTTTTTATTATTTGAATTGAAATTTTTTTTCAAAGTTTAAATTTCGTTCTATGCTTAGATTATATTATTTTATAAAGAAAAATGCTTTTTTTTCATTTAATTGAGTTTTTAGGAACTTAATTTATTTTTTTTAATTAAGTTTTTTTTTTTGAGCAATTTTAATGAGGCCGTTTTTAATGAAAACTATTGTGGAAAAACAACAATAATTTATAATTGGTAGAAGTTATAGCTGCTATTGAGGAGATGTCCTCATCAGACTTCTTCACTGGGATTCGATCCAACGACCCCAGCTGCCTCAGCCACTGGTCTACACACTGTGCTAAGTTCGCCTTATAAACTGTTGTTTCTATTTACACTTTTTTCGTGTGTTAAGCCAACTACAATCAAGCGCAGCAATTTTTTAAATTTAATTTTCTTTTTATTTTTAGATTTTGTATTAAAAAGAAAAATATTTTTTTAAATGTATCGAAGTAATTTTTAGAAATTTATTTTAATAAAATTTTCAGGTTTTATTTGTTTTAAAAAGATGTTTGTCATTCCACTTTCTTTTATTTTTTAGAAAAGAAAATATTTCTTTTAATTATTGAAAGGGTTTTATATCTATTTTTGTTTTTTAATTTAGATAGATAGAAGATAGTTGCCAGGTTTGACAACTGTTTTACGAAAGACCTTTGCCCGGTTTCGGCTCCTGTTACTAAATCAAAAATATACGAAATATTTAGTATGGACTAGGATGAAATTTTATATACATACATTCCTAGACCGACCCCGAACTATTCGAGCTGTAGAATCTATGTCATTGCGTTGATTTAGATTTTAATAAGCAGAATTATATTTTTATATAGATTATAGATGACCATCAATTTAGCACTTTTTAGGCCTCCAAAGCGATTCATATTTATATCAAATTGCTCACGACCCTGTATGGTACGTAGTAAGTGGTCCGCAATTAAATATGTTTGCATGTACATATGTATAATTGAAATTAATCGGTGTTAGTGACGATGCGTTCAACTCACCTCAATTCTAATCAAAACAATGCAAATCTAATGTGTTAATATTTAGAATAATTTTTGGAGTATATGAAGCAGGAAATTACTGCACACCATGTCGCTCAACAAGCCAGCCAACCAACCAACCAACCAACCAACCAATCAATCGTATAACCATGCCATCTCCTGCATTGTAGGGCAGTTGACAAATGTGGTTACCACAGTTTGTTGCAACACGTCGATGCGTCTAGTCGAAACGCGGTGCGTAGGTACGACGCACATACTTTGAGCAACTTTCAAATGAGATACATACATACAGGTTTTTTGTATACTACCCACTGTACTTTATTTGGAACGCAAAGTTTAAATTGGATTATATCAGCATGATTTGGAGCAGCGATCTATGTTACAAGCTTTACTTCTGGCCATTTTTGAACTATCTGGCTGGTATAAAAGGAATTTGTCCATATTTTATAGGTTATTTTCCCTTTATCACACTAGCGCCGGGTACTATATTGACATCGCCTTCCACAGCTTCCACAACAACATCCACCACAACGTCCACCACAATCACGACGACGACAGTCGCTACAACGATTCCGACGTTTCCGACGTTTTCGCCTACACCGCCAACCGTGACCACCCAGCAACCGTGTCCGGCACAACCATTGGCGTGCTTGAATGGTGGCGTGCCACCAATAGCCTATTGCCCCTGTATCGATCCAAGGCTAAGTGGGCTGGCGGGTGGCACTGGAACTACCGCAGCGGCGCTGCTTACTAGATTCGGTCAGGCATCACAGACGCAACTCCAAAGTGCAGGACAATTGACTGATCGTCTGACATTTGCACCAATTAATACACAACCGAATGGCGGTGCGGAAAGCTTACAACCAAAAGCTAGTGGATCTTCATTGTCAAATTCATTTTTCAATTTACCGTTTGGTGTGCAAAATGGCGCGCAGTCGCCAGGACCTGTTGGCTCAGAAGTGATGGTTTTCAGTTCGCTCAGACGACGCAGGAGGCGACGAAAGTGAATATATGAATTGAAGTTTATGCGCAGTAATAAATTAGTAATGTAGGAATTGAATGAAGTATTAAGGAAATCATGGATATACATACATATATCTATTTATTTTGAAATCTCTGTGAACCAGTAAAAATTCAAAGCATAAAATGTTAAAATAAATAAAAAAACGCACATTTCGGATATACAAAATTGGCATTTTTATATTAAGGGGCGTCCCAAAAACTTGGAGCAGGGTTTTGTATGGTTTGAAAATTTTTGTTGCGAGAAATTTTAATTTTTTGAATTTGTAATTTTGCAAAGCAATTTTAAATTTTTTGGGATTTTTTAAAATAGTTCTACTGGAATAATCGAAATATTTCCTAAGATAAAGGTTAATAATTTCTGGTGAGCTCTAATTTACTGACATTAGGGCGAAACGATAGTGTGACAAGAACTGAGATTTGGTGGGCAAAGTACTAGAATGGGGTACTTGAGTTCAATGTGCACTGGTATAAAAAATCGGACCTTAAGAACCGACTGTAAATGGCGAAGATGTAATTAAAAATAAAAAAAAAATAAGCCTACGTTCGGCAAAAAAAAATCGGAATGGTCTCCTTTGACGTTCGACTGTAGATGCCGAAGATATGGCGAAAAATGTAAAAGTGGACTCCAACGTTGGACAAAAAAAAATTTAAATGCTTCCTTAGTAAACGTTTAATGATTTTTGGCGAGCCTTAATTTACCGACATTAGGGTAGTACGCTATGATTATAAGAACTGAGGTAAATGAAATTAGGAACAAAATCAAAAAAATACAAGAGCGTCGATACTTAATGATAAAACTCCAAATGTCGAAGATTTGGCGGAAAATGTAAGAAGACTATCGAAATTTTCTCCTTTGAAATCCGACCGTAAATGCCAAAGATATGACGAAAAATGTAAGAAGGCGACACATTCCCCAAAAAAAAAAATCCAACTAGCCTTCGAATCGAAATACTTTCCCTAGCAAAAGTTTAATGATTTTGGCGAACTTTAATTTATTGAAATTAGGGTGGTACGTTAGGATTATAAGAATTTGAAGTCAATGAGCTTTGAAACAAGAAAATAGAAGAGTATCGATAGATCATACTTTAAGATAAATGCCGAATGTTAGACGCAAAATGTAAAATGGCGACACCCCACATTAGGCTAAATTTTTTTTTTTCAAATTGTCTTGCAAAAATACCTTAGACTCGGCGGACTTTTTTTCTGGTACGGTCTAATGTACATACATAACTACACAATGGTTTTCGAAAAGGTAATACCCATTATCTATATTTCCATATTCTAAGCATTAATTGGACTATGCTGGTGTCTATACCATAAAAATACATTTGTACAATTAGTTACGCTTCGTTTTTTACTATGTAAATGGTAGTAGTAAAATGCATTAAATGCTTTTTTTTGTTGCAATAATGGCTTTGTGTTTGTGTGATATTAATGTATGTGTTTTTTTTTAGCGAATTTTTAACTGACCCAATTTTGTTTTTACTTTTTCGTTTTTTCCATTTTTTTTTTTTGAAATTTTGCCACACTCTCCCTCAGCACAAAATTGCGTCGATTCAAGTTTTCAACCTGGCAATTGTGTACAAATAAATTTATGTCCGCAATTAATGCAGGATTATTATGATGCTATGAGAACTTCGTCGTATTTCAACGATTTTCAGAATTTCATTAGCGGTTCCGTGTGCGGCTTTGATGGATACACTTTTATGGTGAGTACTTACTATTAGCTAAATGGTGCATAGTTATTTATAAGAATTGGATTTTTTGAAAGCAATGTTTTTTTCACTTTTCTTTCTTAATTGAATTGGCAAACAAATAGAAACGTGCAAAATTTTGTTTGTGGGCTCCAATTTTCATAAAAAAAAATTGCACATAATTTTATTGAATACTTACAATGCGAAAAACGGGCTCAGTAAAGTACTAACAGCCGGTTTCACTACCAAGATAAGTTTTCATATTAAATTGCTATCGTGAATCTGACCGTAAGTGTTATATATCGTTGAATTAATATGCTTCTGCATCTCCTGCGGGATTGTAAGTCTTTCCACTTACGGTTAGCCACATTTTGCTAGTGTGATAGCAAAAACTTCAGCCCGAAAATTACTTTGTGATCGAACAGACCCTTCGAGTGGGGATCAGTCTACACAATAATTTTTGAGATATCCGTAAATATACAGGGCATATTTTTTCTTTTTATAATTTTCATAATTTTTTTAAATTTAATTATTTATTTAATTTTTTAATTTTATTGTTTTAAAAAGAAAAATATTTTTTTTACTTCATTAAATATTTAGAAACGTATTTTATTTTTTTTTGTCTTTTAGTTAATTAAATTTTTTCAATTTAATTTTTAGATTTCTTGTTTTAAAAATAGATTTTCTTGTTTTTTCATTTAATTTTTAGAAAATTTGTCTACTTATTTTTTTCTTTTTTAGTTTCATATTTATAATTTGACTGTCTGTTATTTTTTAGGTTTTATTGTTTAAATTGAATTTTTATAAAACTCATTCCTAAAAGATATACAGAATAACGCTAAGACCTCCTCGTCAACAGATCTTTTAATCACCCTTTCGAAAGACAGAAAAGAGCTTTTAAAATAGCTGCCAAAACTGATTATTATCTTACGGAAAACTTTTGTCTTTCGAAGGACTGGGGTGAGTTGGTGTTTCAGTTGTCAGAATTGCGCTGATAGATTCTGCGAAGCGTTCAGTAAAAGCAATCACTTTCCACCGTTTCAAAATGGAAACATAGTAGAATGTATATGTAGAATGTATATATTTTTTTTTGTTTTATTGAATATGACCATGGATCATTGAAAGAATATAGAATATCCCCATTTCCGTATATCCGCTCTTACCATACACACAGTTCCCTTAACCCTCGGGCAGTCTGGTAAGCACTTTTCTTTATAAAAATATCGATAATCGATGGTTTGGGACAGATGCAATTTAAGGCTTTCGTTTGACATGATCTGCTCATCCCAGTTGCCGCAATTCCGGCTGACCTTTATATCAACCCTCTCCAGCATTGCATGGTTACTTTGTCTCAACAGTTTTCTACTGAACTAGCGAGCAGTATGCAATAATTGGTCGAATTACCACCAACATGGATATCTATGACTTGAGATAGTGGATTGCAGAGGCACCAAATTCGAGCTCTCGGCCGGGTGATCTCACTGGTAGGAGTGGACTTGAGACTCAATGAGGAGCAGAGGAGTTATCTACCTGGTCCGCCAAAACACCGACCAGGACCAGTTGAGACAGCTGCGAAATAATTTCAACCCAATCTCCAAAATCGGCTTTCCCTCACTGGAACCTCTTTCGGTCGTGTTCTAGAACCTCTTTCGTTTAGCACCACCTTTATTTTGAGTAGCCTGGTGAGCAGGCTTAACACTGCCTCATCCAGCGCCCCCTCGGAGCGAGTTTTTCCTCCAGCACGGTTCCACTGTCTCTGCTATTTTCAAAGTTAAGTTAGAAAAAATGTTGCATGTGGTAATTTTAAATAGACATTTTATTTTGGTTTATAGTTTTATTAATTTGTTAATTACGGAAATGTATGTATGTACATATTTACTTCTTCAACTCTACAAATTCAGGTCTGTTGTGCCCTGACCCGCAATCTACAAAGCCCAGCAAAATCTATGCCTTTCAAACCCGTCGCTACACAACAACAGAGTGGACCAAATACATTGACATTTAAATTTTCATCGCTCAATTCGAATGCCGGCATACAAACATCGCCACAAATTAATCCAACGAGTACGCCATCACAATTAGTAACCCCAGCGCTAATACCTCCAACGAGTGTGCTTATACCCAGCAGTACAATAACCACTGGCATCTTGCCAGCCAACTCCAACCGGCCAGTGGTGGTATTGCCACCTTCAATTCCAAACAACGTCAATTCCACAGTTGTAAATATACCCACGCGCTTGCCATCGTTGAGAGGGCAGCAAAGTTGCGGATTGACTTCAGCTTATACAAATAAAGTTGTTGGTGGTTCAGAAGCCAGTCGAGGTAAGAAAAAATTATTCTAAAAAGTGAAGTTGAAATATGATTCCTATGACATTAATCATCCATTTCAGGCGCCTATCCATGGCTCGTCGCTTTGGGCTATCGCGACGAATATAAACCGGATGCTTTGAAGTTCCTTTGTGGTGGTAGCTTAATCTCAAGTCGCTATGTTTTAACCTCTGGACATTGCATCAATGCCTTGCTGAGCACAGTACGCGTGGGTGCACATGACCTTAGTAATGCTAATGAAGAGGGTGCCATAAATATATCCGTTGAACGTAAAATAGTGCATGAGCAATATAATGAGCGTTATGTCGTTAATGATATAGGATTGGTTAAGTTGCGCGCAGCAGCGCCAAATACAGGTAAGAAAATACTTCACTTATGTACATGTTAGACTATCTCACGCCCTATAGACAGATATAGAAAATCGGTTAATCTTTTCCAAGCGAATTTCAAAATCTAAGAAGTTTCAGCTGCATTGTCAGAAAAACGTTCGGATACCAAGTATTTGTAAGGGACTTCTTAATATGCAATTTGTTCTTCCATAGTTTTTGTTGTAAAAAATTTAATAGAGAAAACTTATAAAGCCAACAATTTATATTATCTATCAGATCACGATAGACCACGAGCTAAGCTGAATTGTTTTAAGAAAAAAACAAAACTGAGGATGGAAGGAAATAAGGTTCCTATGGTACCTTGAACACGAAATTAAGTCCAGACGTGCGTAAAGTTTTGAAATTTGAATGAAGAGTGCGTTAAAAACGGTCGCAAAAGATTACTTACTTATGTATATTGGTCTATCGAAAAAGATATTTCACTGTAAAAGATGGTTAAAAAAAATATATATATTTAAGAAAACGCAATATCTAGAGTTGCAAATTTCCAAGAGGCCCAGCGCAATTACATTAAATTTGGATAAAACTTTTTTGTGCGTGCTATTAAAAGCACATCGAAGTTTATGATTCGCTTGGATAAACAACCATTTTTTTTTTCTTTTAGTGTGGCAACCTAATATACATAGCTGCGTTCCATAGTAAGATAAAAATATAAAACATTGACCTATCTTTTCTTTTATTTATTTTCACAGCATATATTGGCCCAATTTGCTTGCCTGATGGAGAACGCTTCGAACAGAATTTTGTGGGCATGAACCCATTTGTTGCTGGCTGGGGTGCAGTTAAGTTTCAGGGTCCAAGTTCAAATGTTTTGCGTGACGTTCAAGTGCCCATTGTGAACCAGCAGTCTTGTGAACAGTCCTATAATTCTGTGTTTCAACATATTGCATTTACTGATAGGGTGAGTTTAACATATACATACTATAAGCATTTACTCTTCTTTTTCGCTATAAATATATTAGGCCAGTTCGCTGAACGCGCTAGAGTAGTCTAATGTAGGAAAAACCGTTCGATCACTAAAGGAATGTATTTTTATCCTATAAGATGTATTATGTCTAATACATATATATGTACAGGGGTGGGCGATCGCAATGTTACGAATTAAAAATGCTAAAATTTTTTTATATTTTTTTTCAAACGTCATTTCATCATAAAAATTTTAATAAAAGTGTATTACGGTTCGAAGTAACCACCATTAGCGCGTATAATAGCATCGAGTCTTTTCGGGAATCTTTCACAGGCTGCACAAATGTGGTGTGGTGGTATTTTGTCCCGGTGGCAGCACGGTGGCAGGGCGTTGATTCTCTCATAAGTATTTGTTAGTTGATGCTTTTGCCTCGAGAATGATTTTAAGTCCGGTGAATATGTTGGTCATTGTTGCAAAGAAATTAAGCTGGGAAGTTTTTTTTTCTAAAAAACGCTGGATTTCGCGAACTTTATGCGATAATGCCGATTCTTATTGAAACGCCCAATGATTTTTTACCGAATTGTTTTATGCTCAAGGTTACAAAGATGTTTACATCGAACAGTAATACACTTTTTAACTGACTTCACAAAAAGGAGATATTTGTAATATTTTTGTTTTGTTTTTATGTATGTTACCGCATAACTTTGGACCACGTTAACCGATTTCTATAATTATTTTTTTAAAGGAAAGGTGTTACCTCACAGTTGGTCTCCTTCTAATTTGGTTTAAATCCAATCATTGGATCATGAAGAGATTAACGATAATTTTAAATTTTTATATGAGAATTGAAGTCGGTTTTGTTTTTTGCTTAAAAATTACTTGTTTTTTTTTTAATTTGAGCTGTTTTTATGATGAACGATGTTAAAAAAAAATAGACAAAATTATACATAGCATTTTTAATTGGTAGCACTTCGAGCGCCTACGCCTGTATTTCGGCGGCTGAGTGTAAGATCGACCTATCTCGGCAGCCGCTTCGAAAACGCCTTATTTTAGAAAAATGTTCAAGAATGCCCTATCTCAGAATTTGGAAATATGAGCAGAAAAGCGTGTTACTTAGGTGTACGCGGCGTATGAGTAACATTATTTCGTGCTCAATTTTCATACAAATAATCTTCCGCATTTTTATTTGACCACTCATTATTTCGTATTTATTCATCGATTTTCTTCATCAGTAACTTGCTTTTTTTTTGTAACAGAACAGGATTTAGTACAAATGCGAAAATTTGGCACATAACCTGTAATTTTTAAAATTTTTATTCTGTTAAAGTTTGATTTTTTTTTTTAATTTTTTCATTAAAAAATAAAAAAAGCTGGAATGATTAATTAATTTGTCAGAAACTATAAGCCCCATCGGAAAGTGATGTATATACGGATTATGGAGAATTTCATTGGCTTTCATTTGCCGTTACTTATATTCAGATTTTTAAATTGGTTCGTAAGATATACGTGATTAAACGGAATCAATTTTTGATTTAACCTGAATAACGGTAAATTACAAATATCTCGAAAACGTATCCATAGAAAAAAATTTTGTTTTACTGTAAACCAGTGATATTAGTTGCTCATGTACGCCCTTTCTAGTGAACACATTGCTCGCATAGGCGGAGAGCGTGCATGGCTCACGACAGAAATGACTTAACAAACATATTTTTTTAGAAATATTTTCTTCAATAAATGCAGTTTTTGAAAATATAAACGAAATGTAAAACACTCGTTGAGAACATATTTTTAATGCAACTTGGATATTTATAATGTTTTAATTACAAAAAAATTCTAATTATAAAATTATTTTGTTTTTAAAGCTCCAATGCCACTTCGCTTACAAAAAAATTTCATCAACTTTCGTCAAATACTTACAGAGAAAATGAGCTTTGAATAAAAGATTGCTTAAAAATGTAATTGCTTATAAAAACTTTAAAAACTTAACACCCAAATTCATAAAACATAAAGAAGTCTTTAACTGCTATACTACTATAAATCTGTTTTATTTTTTACGAATAAGGCCATAAAATTCCTTCTTCAACCAAATTCTGAGATGGGGCTTTTTCGAACCGTCTGCCGAGATAGGTCGATCTTCCATGCATGCACCCATCGTTCTTAAATTTAAACTAAATTACCATGATTCGCTTTCTGTGAATATTGTGCACATAATACGTTTTCCCCCCCAATTCAGTTCATCTGCGCTGGCAATTCTTATGTGGATGCTTGTCAGGGGGAATTCGGTGGGCCCCCTAAGATTTCCAATGGTAATTTTAAAAATTTAATTTTAATTTTTTTTTTTTTTTTTTTTTTTTTTTTTTTTTTTTTAATCGTGTTGCTTGTTAGACACCAATGCCTGTATGTGTTCATATGTATACGCACCTACATACATATAAGTGATTCACTTGCTTGAAAGTTCATTGCCATTACCAAACTTCATTAGTGTTTTATTCGAAAGTATTTATTTCTTTAGTCATTGTCGTATTAATTTTTTACTTTTCAATAAATGTCCATACATACATTCATACATATGATAAGTACTTTCTGTTTGTGATTTGCTCTCATTTCCCACAACTTAGCTGGAGAATGGCGCTTATCATTATTACATACTTGGCTTGGTTTCTTACGGTTATGAATGCGCTCGGGCTGGATTTCCTGGAGTTTACACACGTGTGGCTTCCTATTTGCCGTGGATTCGCAGTCACATGACTTAACGATGAGTTTAAGATGAGTAAAATTGGTATTAATGCGTTTAATGTAAAAAAATATTAGTTTACTGTATGTAATAAAAATCTGTTTTTAAGTAGAAGTTTTATCACATTTTGTCTTTATATTAAGATATGGGTTTATCTTAGATTCTAATAGCCTTATTCATAAAAGATAAAGTAACTTTTATGTAAATTAATATGTGGAAACGGTTTAGAACTGATGACTTGTTTTCTGAGTATCGGGTCTTGAAGAAAGACGTCAACAAGGCTATCCGGATCCAAAAAATTAAATATTACGAACACAGGTTTAGTGTTGCAGTGGGTTCCAAGCAAACCTGGCAACGGGTCCGTGAAATAGGCATTCTTAAAGTGCATTCTGCCAAAAATCTTGCCGTAAATAACACACGCACTGAACACAATCCTCACCACGTCGGAATTCCCTAGCTACTGGAACAAAGTCAAAATAATACCCGTACAGAAGTCAAATCGCGAACATAGACCGATAGCGATGCTACCGTTTCTTTCGAAGGTCCTTGAGAACTTAATGTTAAAACAAATTAATGCATTTCTGAGCAAATATTCTCTTATTACTCTGGTACTCAGTCAGACTTCAGGTCGAAGCGAAGTTGTACCACAGCACTACTAAATGTGACCAAAGATATCAGACAACGACGGACGAAAATAACATAATGTTCCATACTCTTCTAGACCACTCGAAAGCATTTGATAGTGTAAACCATCGCTTAAGGTGTCTAAAGATCAAACATTTGTTCAATTTATCGTCACCAGCTTTCAAACTAATTAACACGTATCTTTCTGACAGATCTCAAGCTGTATGCATGGGTAATTCTTCGTCCTGTTTTGTGTCCGTAATTAAATGTGTGCTCCAGGGTTCGTTCCTTGGCCCATTGTTATTTTTTCTATAGGTCAATGATCTACCTAAAGTTATTAAGCATTGTAACATTTACGTGTATGCTGACGATTGCCAAGTGTATCTTAGCTGTCCAATTGATTCAATTAATATATGTAATAGTGACTTAAATAACGATTTAAGTCTTATCAGCGAGTGGGCTAGTCACAATGGTTTTGTTTTAAGCCCCAGCAAGTCCCAGTGTATTGCAATTTATAAAAAATACTTTAAACTCTTTGACTGCTTTAAGAGTCCAAAAATCTGCCCATTCCTGGTATAAACGATTTGAAGGACTTGAAGACACTTTTTTTCCGGCAGTGACACTTTTTTGCGACTTTCGAAAAATTTTCAGCGTTAACACTGATTAAGACGATACGTTTGTAAGTATGTTTGTCAACATTCATACATGTTCATATATTAATTTGAAATTGCTTGAGATTACCTAGCTTTCTAGGAGAACTACTGATGTGCTTGCTGCTGCCATCGTTTGCAATAACAACAACAACATTAGCGGCAATAATCAAAACAAAACACAATTTATAAGCAATGTATCTTATAGGTGGTATTACTTGTGTGTGAATGCATTAAGTTATACATATATGTGTATGTATGTATGTATGCACATACTGTGAACAAATCGGTCGATGAGCTACAGCCAACATTATAGTACTAGAGAATGAAATGTGTCGTATTTAAGCTGAAATCAATTAAAAATAGCTTGTCGGTTTATTTTACATAGATTTCACTTTTGTTTCTAATTTTAAAAGTGATCCCTCATTGCCGTACAATTTTTCGACTGCCGCCCACGATGAGACTGCTTGTCGATTACATATGGCCTGAAGTACAATTTCGTAGGCCTTTCGGTGTCAGTCTCCCGTCGAGAGCCAATTGTGAACTTGATATCTCCGCCAAGATACATCATCTGTATACCAATGGCTCCAAAGTGGAATGCAGAGTCGGTGGAGATAAATCCATCTGCCCGATTTTGAAGAGCTTTCCAGGCATAAGTATTCATTATAGCTGAAGGTTTACGTCACGGCGAGCGTGCCGCCACTTTTTCGGATAGCCAGGAGGCCATTAAAACCCTGGCGTCTTTTAAAACATAGTCGAAACTGATCAGGGAGTGTAGGTCTCTTTTAAACGCCGTAAATAGTTAGCTCGATCTGGATTTAGTTTGGGTCAATGGTCATTGCAAAACTCTCGGAAACGAGGCTGCAGAAAAGTAAGCCAGAGAGGGTTTCACTTTGGTCTCGATCGAGTATTGGAACTCACCGTCTAATTGGAAACATATTCAGAAATCGGATCAAAGGTGGCACATAGCGGCGGCGGGTGTCATATATGCAAACTCATTTGGCCCAGGTGCAACCCTGAGAGAACACACAACTTATTAAGAAAATCCAGATCTGACGTTGCGCGGCTAGTAGTGATTTTTATTGGGCATTGGCCGGTCGGCACACACGCCAGAAGGTTGGGCATCAGTGGGCCATATCAACGTCACTCCTATACGTATGTATGTATGTATGTACGTATATAAAACTTCATTAAACAATAACTGAATATTTACATGCTTAGTGTAGCGAACCTATAAAATTTATTTAATCAGAATTCACTCGTACTAAGTCAATTGCAATTACATACTCGAATTAAATATTAACTACTGATATTGTTGTTAGTGTATTTTTTTTTTTTTTTTTTTTTTTTGAATTCATGAAGATGCGCTGAGAGAAATGCAATTTGGTGAAGTCCAAACGTATGGGTTTTTTTTTAACAAATCTACAAATAATAATTTTCCGCTGCATTTGCTAATACAAAGCCAATCAGGCATACTGAGTGCAAACTTTTTCATTAGTGTGACTCTAGAATAGTTTGTGTTAATCAAGGTTTAGTATAGCTCCGGTTTTCCGCAAGTATAGTACTCAGCGCGGTTACGGTCCAGTAAATTGTGATTCGATTATTTGTTTATCATAAATCGCTGACGAATTTAAAGGGAAGAAAAGCAGCAACAAAAAAAAACAACAATGTGGACCATAAAATATGCAATCGTGTTAATTGTTGTTATATGTGAAACAACTGCGCATCGTTGGATGGCCTATCAAGGTGGGGACCTTTGAGATGTTTTGCTTATGGTTTTAGATTCTAAAGTACTTATATATGTATGCATGGACTTTTAGTGCCAACAAATAACGCTTGCCAAACCCCACTTGGCGATTGGGGTATGTGCGTCTCATTGAAATACTGCCGGGAAGTCTTGAGATTCTACGAAAAACTGTCTGTAGATCAAGCGACCAGATATTCGAAGGCGCTACGCAATATTTGCTATAATCGTGTGACTCACGACAACTACCCGATTGTAAGTTTTAATGGCTAATATACACAATTGGTTTGTAAACTTTCATATTTACATAAATGTGGATCTTTAGCTTTGCTGCACTCGCCCAGTCTTCGAAGATACAAATCAAAATGATAATCATATTCTTCCCACCACAACGATGCCAACGTCAGCAGATGAACACCAGCCGACAATAAAAACTACGACCACAACAACAGTTGCCTCTCAAACAAATAGCGATGATGAACGTTCAGTGTCGGATGACAAAAACTCGCCACCGGAAACTTGTCGAGTGCCACACGATGGCAGCGATGGCACCTGCAAACGTGAGTTGTTTTGCTCTAACGCCCTCTGTGTTTTTATATCTTGCGCGCAGTATGACCAGCTTAAGCTTTCTGATGCTAGATTTAGTATTATTTTTTTGTATTAAACTTGGAATTTAAGGTTTAGCGTGGTGGCCTTCTCCTACTACAAGTATTTTTTTTTTGCTTAAGTATTAATTTTATATACATATATATACTTATTTTTTAAATAAAGTACGGGTATGGAATAAGTGAAAAATACTTACCTTTTTGATAGCAAAAAAAACCTAAAAGCAGAGAACTTTGTAAAGGCAAATTCGGCCAGAGAGTAATTCGGATAATACTTTTTGTTTATACCAGACTGGATCAGTAAGTTCGCTTTTGAACTGTTCGCACTGGTACTTAAACGAAACACTTGAAAAAATCCTAGATATGGTAATGAATGAACGAAAAATGAAAGCGTCCGAGTGTGAAAAAGTCGCATGCATATCAAATGGCTCAATGAATTCGATTTCGAATGACTATTTAGGTATAATAAAACTATTGACACAATTAGTCACAAACGCAATCGTGTTAGAAATTCGAAGGGCTTTTTGGCGCCATGGAACCGCTTACAGAACGAATTCTTGTCATGTTTATGACCATGACAAAGCTTTGATTCATCTCAGCTTATCGGAGAACAATCATCAATCAAAGCAGAATAGTCTTCACAGGTAAATTAGCATCGAAGAAGTTCAAGGTGGATGTGAAAGCAACTAGGTTAAGCCGAAAGTGTTTAAAGATGCACGTGGCACGTTTTAAACTGTTTGGAGAGGAAAAGAAACATTCAACAGCCAACTATTTGAAATATCTATTTGGAGAAAAAATTACCGCATTTGATGAAGTAACGAAGTTTTCTTTCTTGAATCCACCAGTCGAATGACTTTTGTCGCAGCTGCTGCGATGTAGAGGAAGTACAAAGATACCTATGATCGATCCATCACCACTTCCTTCAGTGTCGGGCTGAGCTAAGCACAGCTACCATCGTCGATTTTGTGACATCTGACGAATTTGTTTTCAATTCTATCACAACGAAAAATGTAGAGTCGCTCTCCTACGGCACCACAATAGGGCCATGGCTGCCTCAGAGTAAAACCGCACATAAAGCTTTTCAGGCGCACAGCGATTTTTACGCCATCAGCACTTTATTCAGATATATATTTTATATTGCCGCCTAAAAAGCTTAAACTGGAGTTCTACAACGCTGTTTCAGGGGCGTGACGATTAGCTCCCAGTGATTATCTATTGTTTTAAAACCTAAATAAATGCGTCTGGGAAATAACTATGAAATTCTCGTTGTACGAAACACCTATTTTGGCGATCTTAAGAAATCGTATTACTAGGAGCGCATCAAGAAATTGGAGAAATGCAGCTTAGTGCTGAGAGGAAAGGAGAGACTTTACTTCTGCTTCTTCTTCAAGATCAACACTGTAAACGCCTAAGCATTTCTGGCCCAGCCCCATGAAGCACGCCAGTCGTTTCTTTTCTATGCCAACTGGTGCTAATTGGAATTGCAAGAGACTTGTTTCCAATAATGAAATCGCGCTCAACAATACGTCTAATTTGAAGGCCTTGATAAGTCCTAATATATGGAGGACATTAGAAAATAAGAGAAATGCTGGAAACTATAAACATATGTTGAGAAATAAGTTGCTTTCGATTCGGAGAAAAACAATCCTTCATCTAAAAAGTAAGGGACTTTTTGAGGCGCTCTCGTAAATACCCCTTCAACATAAAAATCCTAATTTCTTGTTAACTGTTTTTTTTCCGCTTCCAACTTTTCCTATTTTTTTTTTAGGACAACTCAGCTGTAATAGTTATGATCTGGTCACATTGCTGACACGCTTTCTCATTTTTACTCTTTATCGCTCTCTCACTCTATATGCAATAACAATTGATTATTTATACCCATCTTTCTCTCTACCTTCCGCTGCACCCCTTTAGCATTTCAAACTTGCACCGAACTAATCACACGCGCACAACAAAATCCCACCGATAAGGAATTTCGCAGGCAATTAGAATTGTCGAATGCTATCTGCTTTAGCATCGGCACGAATATTTGCTGTCCGGTGGCGGAGAAAAAAACGGTGCAGCGTTCAAATGATGCCGCATGGCATCTGCCATCCGAAGACGAAGGCTGTGGCCTGACGCATCTTTCAACATTGAAAGTTGTAGGCGGTGGTAATAGCAGCATTGGATCTTGGCCATGGATGGCTCTAATCGGTTATGATCGATATAGCTTATCGCCATTTCGCTGTGGTGGCGCATTGATAACAGCACGACACGTACTGACCGCAGCTCACTGCATTTTAAGAGACTTGTGAGTTATTTGTAGTTGCGAGAGATGAAATTGTGATGCTCACAGAACAAATACAGAACGTTTTTTTTGTTTATTTCTAAATTTTCAGATCATTTGTACGCTTAGGCGAATATGATTTGAGCACCGAAAGGGAAACCCAACATTTGGACATCGATGTAGTGAAGGTGAGTTGCGTTTTCATGGGTTAGTTATTTAGCATATATGTAAGTATGTATATATGAAGTTCAAGTTAGGTTGCTTTAAGCGCAGGGATCTCTTTTGTAAAAGTAATTCGTACTATGAAAAACTTTAAGGACTTAAAGATGTACATACGTTTGTGCTAGTTTTTCGTTTACTACATATATCTCTTGTATTTATTCTTTGATATAGTACATACTTTTCTCATAAAAAGAGTAACTATAAACTTAAATCCACCAACATTAATATTTATTTCTCTTAAACCAGTCAGTTCGTCATCCAAATTTTGGTGGTAGAGATCGCCGCTATGACATTGCTGTCTTATATCTGGAGAAAAATGTCGATTTTACAGGCAAGTCACGCATAATATTCTAACATTAAGTATAATCTAATGTCATCAAACTCGCTGCACAGATTTCATTTGCCCCATTTGCTTACCCACATCACAGCAGTTGCGCAGTAAATCCTACATCGGCTATCATCCCTTTGTAGCCGGTTGGGGACGTGTCATGGAAGGTGGGCGCTCATCAAATATACTGCAAGAACTACAAATCGAAGTTATGGATAATTCTGTTTGTCGACGTAGCTATGAAGCGAACAAAAGGCTTGTATCCAATCAACAGTTCGACGATACGGTGGTATGTGCCGGCGATTTGGGTGGCGGACGTGATACGTGTGGCGGTGATTCGGGTGGACCGCTAATGGTGGCGGAGGTGAGTTTTGGGAGAAATGTTAACAAACAAAAATTATTCTATACCTTTTTTTTTAATTTGTATACATTAGCCATATAAAGGCGTGACACGCTTCTATGCACTCGGCGTGGTCTCATATGGCATTGGTTGTGGCCGCATTGGCATACCAGGCGTTTACACAAATACACAACAGTACATAGATTGGATATTGGAGATGCTGGCGCAGACGTAGTACCCGCCCGCACATGGATGTTGGCCTTAATTTCTAGTTTTTAATTTTAAGTAAGTGGCGCTTTTCAATCTTGGTTGGCTATAAATATTATAGTACTATATAGTGGTTGTCCACCTACTAAGGATACAGGGCGCCAAAGCTTAAGTAATCGTTTACTTAAACTTAAGCAAGCAGTTTCAAGGTGAAGAAGAAATATGGCAACTGCTTAAGTTTACTAAGCTTGCTGGTTTCCGAATAAATGTGCTCTGAAAAAGTCTACATATATATGTATGTATACATATGTAAGTATGCATGTACCTTTTAAATGCCAATTTTATAGGTACTCGTTGCTATATTTATTATTTTGTCTTTGAAACTGCATGCTTTGTTTAAGTTTTGTTTTTATAACTTTTATATGTAAATATTTTTAACGTAGCTTTGAAAAGTCAGCTCTAAGCGCATTCTAAAAAATGTTAGTTAAAAAAAATAATTTAAAATTAAAGAAATTTAATTTTATATTTAGTGTTTCAATGCAAATTTATTGGATTTTGTTTTAACTGTCTTTTAAATTGTATGTTTACGCATACACTCTAGACCATACCAGAAAAAAGGTACACAGTTCTCGCCTAAGTCTAAATTACTTTTGCAAGGCACTCCTTAGTAGCACTCAACCACCAGATCTCAGTTCCTACCACCCTAACATCAGTAAATTAAAGCTCCCTAAAAATCATTAAACTGATAAGGAGGTATTTTGATTATTCCAGCGGGAATATTAATAAAAAAAATTATGGCCAAATGTAGGTGTCACCGAAAAATTTAAAAAAGCAAACACTGGGCTCAGCCAAAGGAAAAAGAAATATTTCTCGAAACTATCTTCTAAAAATATTTTAGACTCAGGGGTTAATGGCAAAACCTTTTTTGTTTGCTTATAGGGTGGTACGGTCTAATACACACGGAACACGAACCAATGAAAAAAAGATCGATTGTAGATAACTCTGCATTCATACTGAAAGAGGCAGTTCCTTGAAACCCGAGTTAATTTGGGCACAGTTCTGTCTAGAGCTTAGAAAAATTATGAGTTAAAATTTCTATTCAGGAAAGGAAAGGGAATTTCTTTGCCCTCTATAACTGGGGTGGGCGCAGAAGTACTCTGCGAAGTAATTTTATCTCTCGACTACCTAACTTCGCGATCATATTCCAAATAAGAGTTCAAAATTTATGTGTATTTTTAGGTACAAGTTAATCATGATATTTTGTTAGATGATATTATCAATGAAAAATCCAAAATAGTAAAGCATTATTAAGCCTTATGGGTCTCGGGCACAATGGAGCGTTTTGTGATGTATCTAAAACAGAGACAGGTGTGACCACTTGGAGGGATATAGAGAGAATCTCCTCCTTAAACCTCTTAAAAATTTCTTTACCTTTCCATTAAAAAAATGAGTTTACGTCAAGAACCATAGGATGAAGACCTTTTTGAATAGTAAATTTTGCATTTGCACCAATGTGTGGCAACTGAACAAAATCGCCTAGCCGCGGTTACAGCGCCAAACAAGAAAAAGAATAATATACGATGCTGATGAAATTGATTTTAGCCTAATTTTAGTTGGTTTCAAAACCAGTATCTCAGCCATATTTGTGCTTGATTTAATTAAAAATGTAAATCTAGATAAAAACTGGTGAACTTTGAGTTGTCAATGAGTTAGGAAATACCACACAAAACTATCGATTTCAAAGATGCATACAAATTCATATACGTACACACATATTTTATAAGCACGCCACTTTGTTTCAAAACATACAAACATACATACATACATATGCACAAATAATGGTACTTACGCACATACATACTTGAATAGCTTATCATTGAATTAAGTCTCCTCGGGTTTGCCAAATATTCATGAAGATATGTTGGTAACAGAAAATAACGAAAGAAAATAAATCGCAAGTATATACACGTATGTATGTATGTACATTAGAGTGGATCAATTTTTGTGCGGGGAAAAAAATTTGCATCCTAGAAAACGAGGCACCCCCTTAATTTTTTCATTTTTATATTTTTAATACCTATACTAACTTTCAGTTTTCTACTGCAACCAATACAGGGTGCTCAATGAACTTGAAATGCGCTACTAGATCGCTGTGAAACTGACAAAAATATTGGTGATTTTTATAAAAAGCTACTGTTGCCATGACGACTGAAGCTTGTGCAATTTTTTGCGAGTATTGACGGCGAGGTCGCTGTTAGCTTTACATTCATTTATTCACCACGTTCAGGTAGCCTAGGGTCAGATCGTGTTGCATACGGTGACCAGACATCTACTCTTAATCATAAGTGTCTTATAACACAAAGTGAGTGATATTTTAGACAATTTTTAATATGTAAATATTTGTAAATGTAAATGCTGAAAATTTTTCTAAGTGTACGATTCCAGATTCCCACCAATTAACTGTCGTAATTTCGCTTGGGCGTCTGTGTGAAGAGCTATTTTAAGTGTCATCATTTACAAGCAAACAAAATTAATTATTTACTTTAGTAAGCGGCTCTCTCGCTCTCTCCCTCGTTGAAAACACGATTGCGCCAAGAAAAAACAACAATTTGAAGTTCAACTACTTGATCGACTAACTTGTTGACTGCTGATTGTGTTGAACTGGTTGGTTTGCGGTTAACTAACTTTTAAGCGAATTACACTTGAGTCGTTAACAAGTCTATGATATGAATAGAAAAAAATGGGTAATTAAAATGAAGAAGATGGCACTTAATACACGTGATATATGTACACATATGTATGTATGTACATACATATTTACATGCCTAACAATTTATGGAACACTTACGTTTTGAAACGGTTAAAAACACTACATCTGGTTATTGATTCAATTATAGCGAACACACAATTGTTGGGTTAAGTGAAAAGAGGTACTAAATGGTTTTGGCTTTGTTCATACACATACCTATTTACATAAATATTTATGTATATGGATTATATTATACTTATTTGTTTAAGCTTGATAATATATGGACTGTGAACTGTTTATTAAAATGGCAAAAGCTTTGGTAGTCCCCTTTGTTAGTTAATATATTCGCAAAGCTAATAAATATAGTAGAATAGAGTAAGACAAATCCAAGTGAGTAGAGTAATTCTCAAGTTTAATTAACATTTAACCTCAATTCATCAAAATAAGAAGAATTCATAAAAGTTGTTAAAGCTTTTTGACTGCTCAAGGAATGGATACGACTTTCAAATATTCAAAACAAAAAAACATTCAAAAAGAAATCTCTAGTAGAAATTTAGAACACGTTTGTTAATCTGAGGCACCTATATCAATATGAAAAGGGATGGGATTATATATGTATACATATGTAAGTGCCCTAAGGATGGAAAAAACAACTATAGCTGGCCTGCCGGGAAAAGTAGTGACAGACGAAACCTGCACTAGGGGCAGAAAAAAATCATTTAGAATGAGCAAGGACATGTTGAAAACTTCGTCAGGCGGTAATTCAATTCTTCTTGTTCCCGCGTATGCCATTCTTCTATTGTCAGTAATAAGATTGTACGCCCTCTACGAGCTCATCCAATTTGTCAATCCGCCAAGTGTTTTTCATCAGCGGAGTAGAATATCATTAAGTCTTAGCTTTTAGTTCTCAAAGGAATAAACCTATGTCTCCCAATGAAAGTAAAATATTTAGGAATAATTCTGTATAGTTGACTATACTGAACTGAGAACTCAAAGTTTTTGAGCAGAGTCTGAGAATATTTTAGAAAACTTGGGTTCCCGGGTTTAGTGCTGTGAAGGCTGAAGAAAAACATACTAGATTTACTTCCTTTGGAACTAAACATTCCAGAGGAACCAATAAAGACGATATGTAAGTTAAATATTATTGGCAAAATGGGAGAGAAATATCGATTGCTATTGCGTAGGCTGTGGCTGAGTAGTTAGAGGTGCGTACTATCATTCCGTAGAACCTGATTTAGATCTAAGCAAGTCTACCTTCTAGAGAGCAATGAAGCGGCCAAGAATACCTTGTAGAAGATACGATCATGGCTTTACGGCCGATCCAAGACCAAAAAAGTAACCAACACTGAACTAGATAGCATATAAAGGAACAAATTCAGATTAATTTATGCATTAGGTACGTTGCGAAGGGCTACCTAATCGGATGATTTTGCATCTGTAAGTGCTAGCAGATTGGTTAATTGAGAGAAGTTGGCTTTGATACTAGATTCCCTAAAGGCTCTGAAAAGGGCTCCTCATCCAAAAATATAAGTTGATGCTACATGAATTCTTTCACGAACTGAAACAAGACTGAGCCTACATTACATATGAGAGCCAACACTGGGGTCTTCAGAATTACCCATTGTGTTCGTGAGAGTCCCTCGCTTTGGTTGTCCCACTTTTGTATAAAAAAAAACTGGGCGCCGTTTTTGGCATAGATGTAGAACGGCTCTCGTAGATTCATTAGGCTGTCGAAGGCGTTTTTGAGGAATCAAAATTATGTGTAATATTCCCTTTGTTTTTGTTGGTTGAAGGAGCTCGATAGAAATCTATGTAATGACGTCTGCAAAAATGAAAATTCTATGGCCCTGTGCCTTTTTATTCCGTAATTTGTTTTGCAAATCAATACCTTCTCTTTAAAGTGCTAACTTACTAAGTAATTATATCTCCAGCAGTAAATACTGAACCCAATTTCAGTTGCCAAGGTTATCACTGATTATATACTTTTCAGTGGTCTCCGCACTTGTCACAGATCGCATCTATCATTGACTTAGATTTATGAAAACCCAATTTGTTCTCACATTCAAATGGGTCCAGATCTGCATCTTATATTTCAAAAACATATGCTCCTGCTGCTTTTCTATGACTCATTTCAGTGTAGATTTGTAATGCAAATGGAGTCTGTTCCACACAGCGAGCGGACAATCATTCTGTCCTTAACTACGGTACGTCTAGACGTAGAAATAATTATTTCTGAAGGCATTAATTTCCTCTTTCTAAATAGTTTCTAGAACGA